AAACTCTTCTTTGCTGCTGCGCGGTCAGCGCTGTCGAGTCCCTCCGCGATCCTGCGTATATTCCGTCTAGGTGAAACGACATGCGTGGGGAGGGGAAACACGGATGTAAGCACGAAGCATGAAATAAAATCAACAGCATAAGTGGAAAAGTTGCTTGGAGTATATTTATCAATCAAGAGCGCGTTCGGGTACTGAATGGTTGCAAAAATGTTGAACAACATTTATGTCTACACCAGTTACCGCAGTTGCTTTGTGAGTCTATGAGGCCAGTAGATAGACGCGAGGTACAGAGAAAATGATAACCGTAATTGCGAACTACTACTAGTAGAAGTATTGCTATTGCTAACAATACTACTACTACCAATACTACTACTAATACTGGAAGTAACTAGCTGGGTGCATGTGAGAAGCCGCACGTAGCGCGCAGTTTTGACGCAAGGCAATATAGCACTTGTGAAATGCGTTTAAGGTTCTAAAAGGTGCCTGAATAGGACAAAGGGAATGCAAACTGTTGAGAAATCTGAAGATATGAACATGACACAATGGCTCTGCTGAGATAGATAGTATTTTACTCAAGTTTTGAGAAATAAAACCAGGATGGGACCTGACAAATCCTGCCTTAATCGACGTTTTTGCTCATTCAATAGGCGAAATTAGAACATCAATAAGGTAGTGACTCACATTAGAAGACCTGAGCACCATTTACGCGATAACACCAGAACTGTTTTTTTTTATCGGCTCTAGTATCCACAGTGCTGTGGATAAGCGCGGAAAAGGCCAGCGATCGTTGGCTAGGCGTTCCACCACCATACTCTTTACGGATGCTGCAAAAGTGCTGAATTCAGTATCTACTCCAGGTGCGATTTTACCCTGCGCCCGGCTACCGTGGCGCCTATACGAATTCAAAGAGGATGTCCGGAGCGTGAATTTCGGGAAATTATTTCCCTTCGAGCAGACGAATACCGAGCAGAAACATATGGGCGGGATCCAATTGACGTAACAGAAACAGAATTAACTTCGCGCTACTGATGGGGCCCTGTATAAGACATACAGCCAGTTTGACAGAGTGTACACTGGCCTTCGCCTGTCCAATGATAGACAATCTGGGAGACGTCTACCAGCTGTAGCAGTTATTCTCACCTAACATTGACCAGTTGGCAAAAAAGTCATTCTTCAAAAAAATTGACAACTTCGACCAATTATAAACTAACACGAAGAGGAAACGTTTTATAATGTGTAAAATGGCTGAGTAACAGTTCGGTCGGCGTAGCGTCTACTTTGACACCAATTGCTTACGGTACAGTAAATAGGAGGTGAACGGCAGATAGCTGACGATTAAGGGAGACTCATGTAAAGATCTGTTCAATCCTGTTAATAAGTATTCAGCATTGTGATTTGCCAACTTCTTCCAAACAATAAGAAAAATATTGACGGTCCAGTCTACTCTAGTATAGTTGGTGCACCATGGCCGCTGGAAAATCTCAAGTCCGATAGAAATTAGGCCAAGATAGTCCTTGGAGATTTTGGCTAGCAATCCTTATTCCAGTGAAACTTTCTTGCTACGGATGAAATGCAGGATCAAAATACGGGCAGAAAGACCAACTGGAGTGTGTTGACAAGATGGACAATGTATTGTCAGTTCGACTGAAAAACCCGTTTTCCTTCTGGCTACTTATGCGGTTCTCCGTAAGAAACTGCTAAGATCCAGGAGGAAGTAGCGACCTTGATTGCACCAAGTCCGAAGTCATGTCCTGATTCCGGTGAACAAAAATAAAAGCGACATCTGAGCGTTCAATGGGTCCCAGGCGATTCAGTCACGTAATACTTCGTCGGCCGGTTGCGTCACATTATTCTGAATTTAGGATATTTGCAGTGGTAAAAAGTTTTCATTAATAGTCTTGTTAACTGTCGGTATCAGTTCTCTAAAAGAAGCATAAGACGAACAGACAGGAAAATCGCCATCATAATGCCACGATATAAAAATTAATAAGTGCTACTAATGTAAACCAAGTAGAGTGACAATAGGAGTAATTGCACCTCTTCTGAAAGTGAGCATAATAGTTTTCTAAACATGCACCATCTCGACTATACTTTTAAGTCGGTGGCTGTCAGGAGGCCGTCCAAAGACGCAAACACTATTCAAAATTTGAGTGGCTTTCGACCATAACTACTACTTCAGCTTGTGTTCATTGACATCAAAGTCATGGACGTCATCCACTTCTGGCCAGCGAACAGTATCTAAGGTTGTGATTTTTTAAGAAAGTTAGAGCGGCCGACAGCTTCTCTATGCTAAATTTTATCTTCTTAGAGGTTGTTTCGTTCGAGATTACACTGAGACGCATGCGTAGTCAGACTTCCACAAGTACACGAGCACTAAGAAATTTTCAAACACGCCCATTTCCCGGTTGGTTACATTTCGCTTTCCCGCTAGTGCATGGTGAATGTAGAAGTAGTGGGAGAGGTTGGTGCTGCGAAAGCCCACTTTGGTATAAATCAATTCAAACGCAGGTTGTCGGTGAGCACTCGGGAGAGTAGGGAACTGCTCGCTGGTGGCGGTCAACCAATAACATGTGTAATGCTGAACATATCTACTTGGATTCAACCTCGCAGGCACTGCGTCGCCCCAACCACGCCTTGCTACTCGAACGAAAGGAACGTGGGATGGGGGCATAAATTTGAGGTTGCGCAACTCT